AAATTATGCTGAAACTGAAACAATCTTAACAACTGAATTTCATGCGACCAATGTACAGTTGCGAAATGAATGAATATCAAGAAATTCATTGAAATTCCAAGTAAGGTCACATGAGTTAATATTAAAAAAATTAAAAGGCCAGAACTAACACAAATAAAATTCGTGCCTTCACTGCGCAGTCTAATAATGAATGAATTACTTTAGTTACGAGATTTTCGGTATTGAATCGTGTAAATTGTTTACTTGTCGTGTAAATTCTTTACTTGACAAAGTATGAATTCTTTGTCAATTACTGAAATTCAGGAGAATATTTTAGCCATACCTTTGTGTGCTTTTCCAATTTGTTTCTATCAAGAGTTTTTATTATTTCACGACAATTATGTTGGGTTGGGTAATTTCAGGGGTTTTCTAAAATAAAAGTTCAATTCGCTTCTTGTCTTTGCATTAAGCTAATCAATTGACACGACGATATGCAGCGCTGTCTTGCTCTCGAAATTTTGGCCCAAATTAAGAACGAGCATTTAAACTTCCTGGAGCAGCATAACATAACATAACATAACATAACATAACATAACATAACATAACATAACATAACATAACATAACATAACATAACATAACATAACATAACATAACACATAGCATAACATAACATAACATAACATAACATAACATAACATAACATAACATAACATAACATAACATAACATAATATAACATAACATAGTGATGTCGGCGCTGCAGTGTAGGCCTGATGTGGCCTGTCGCCGATTCTTTTCCTTTTCGTGCCTTGTTCACAGAAGATCTAAACTCGTGTCATTTGACCGGATCTTTTCATGACTGACGATAGTTTGAAGTAGCTACTAGACTTCCACCGGGTTCGATATGGTGCTAGGCATTTCAAATCTGAACATATAAATAAGGATGATTATGAGTACTTCACGGAGGAGGAATCAAAATAAGATTAAGTATGGGTAATTCACAGAGTAGCGGTCTAAATAGAGATGATTATGAGTACTTCATGACAACATTTTTTTTAATCCATTCACGATTTTGGATAATGTGAATACGGTTGCACTGAAAGTCAAATAAAGGCATTTGGTCTCTGCATCATAAAAATCTACTGTCACTGTATTCAATGACGTGCATTATATGCATTTAATTGCCAAACAAAACGTGATTTAGGGAAATTGCTAAATCATGTTTTTCTGTTGGTAAGCCTTTCAGTTTTATCGAATCCTACTAGAATTATCATCACATCTATATACTAGACTGTAATAGTAATATAGCTTTACTCAAGTTATAGCTTAAGCTTAATTTAGCTTAACTTGATTTCGTTCCAAATTGTTATAACAACTGGCTTTTTATGTTATTTTTTAAATCATTTTTATTTTTAATTTGTGTAATAGCGTCATCATCAAGCATTCAGTTGCTTCAGAATGTACCCAAATGTTCTCAAATATTACCTTTGACATAATATGCGTTGTAGTTATTATTATTTTTTTTTTTTTTGTTTTTGGAATGCCCGTGGTGTTTCGATATATAAAAAAATTATCAAATAAACAAAAAACTAACTAAAGAAACAAAAACTACAATAGTCACTATTCAAATCATTGTTTTAAGCGATATGTGTGATTGAATAAGATTTCTCGCATGATTACAATACAATCTCACCAAATGCCTTATTCTAAAGAGGGTTTTTTTCTATTTCGTTTCTGGCTCATGTTTGACGTTAATTCTACATTAATTTATATATATATATATTAATGTATATTGATAGATATTATTATATTGATATTATATTAGTATATATTAATTAATATATATTAACGTATTAATTGATATATACATATTACGCCAATGTATGATATATATCTTATCGTCATCTTGAATGAGCAAATTTGTTCACATTTTACCAAAAGAAACACGAAAATAAACTATATAAACTTCACTGTCATGTCAGAATTTAAACTTCGACGTACTAATCACAGAGTTTGCCACAGAGCAGGAATTTGCCACAACGATTCATTATAGATTCACACTCTAATGCGCCAGTAGCAAGAAAATTTTGCAAATTCATGGCTGTTGGCAGTGGAAAACGTCATAACTACGGTCAACTTGGTTTGTTAGTAGATACATAGTTGATGCATAACTATAGTTGATACATAATCATATTTGATACATAATCATATTTGATACATAATCATAGTTTACACATAATCGTGGTTAATGCATAATCATAGTTGATGCATAATCGTAATTAATGCATAATCATAGTTGATACATAATCATTGTTGATACATAATCGTAGTTGATACATAATCATAGTTGATTCCTGATACATTAGTCGCTACATTGTATTTTAGAAGCCAAACTGCTGGTGAACAAAGTATCAGAAGCAGAAATAACTTTACTAATAGCAGATAAGCACGGTAGAGTCTAGCAAACTTTTCTACTTCCAAGGGTTAACTGTTGCATGATGTGTCTCATTTTAGCGTCGAATGTTAGAGAGCTTTTCGTAACAATTTGCAGAATACCGTCATTATCTATTGTAGTTCTAGAAAGAGTTTCGTGATGAGGGATGATTATTCTCGATGTAAGCGACTGCTACAAGTTTGGAATTTGCGCTGGCAATCCCAACTTCCAGTGAATTCTGGAACGATGTACTGTTGATGCACGTCTCCATGGGAGATATGGATTTTGTCTGCAGTTATTACAACGTAGCAGATTTTTATCTATATTTTCATGCCTTTTTCCGAAATATATCTGATATTTATTCTCATCAATTTCTACAGAACGAGAAATCCTAGCAACATAATTCATTTGAAAACAATTGGAAACAGGAGTGAAGTTAAAGAAAGGGCATCTCTCTACGAAAAATGGAAATCTCTTTATGCACGTGGCAAAAAACCCTATCATTGAGCTCCTCGACAGCTACTTTGGAACATTAAACAGTTTAGTCAATTATTTACATATTAGGTATATTGTCAACAATAAATGTCAATAAGGTATATAAGGATTATATTTAGTCGACTATAAGGTATATTGGGTTCCTATGATAAAAATTTTTCCAATTTCACATAGTTTGCCCTTTTCCTAGAATCCTATGCAGATTTGAGTTCTCTTATCATAAATATATAAGATTAGTTAACAGAATATAATGAATTTTCTCGGATAATATTTAGTTGAGAACTTACTGATTTTTTTGTCATGCTAGTAATGAAGAATCACTTAATTAAAATGTCGGCTCACTGTAACTGAAAGTTTTACGTCCGCTGCTATAAAGTTCAACATATCATACAGTTTTGAACGATAGGAACTTCCGTCTGATCCACTGTTTTTTTCAATCATTTTTATTTGCGTAATTTGAGCTACAATCACAGTTTTCAGGTAAAATTAAAGTTATATATTCTTTGTACAATTTAACACACCGGCTACTCATGCATAATCATCAATCAATACTAAACAATATTTAGAGTAAATACAGCACATTTCGAAAATGGATACCCTTCAAAATTAACAGGTGAAAATTACCATCACGTGAAGCCTTATAAGTTTGAACTTGAAAGTTTCATTCCAAAAAGATTCAGCAACAACTTTGATTCTGTGTTGTGTCAGCTCTCATTTATTGAGCGCCACCTGAGGATCGGGATACGTGACTAAGGGCGTGAGGGATAAGTAAGACACATCTGTATAGAGAGAACTTATCTTGATACGGGCTGGAAATACATGAGTGATATTACAGAGGTATTAGCTACGGCGTCGACCGTAAGGTCGCAGAACTATAATAACGAGATTTGCATCGCGGAGCTCTTATCTATGTACTACTACGGGGGGACTTACTAAAGTTCCCTGCCCTTTTATAGACTTCGGCTTCCGCCCACAACTAAGGTCTTGATCGCGTGATCTATCACGCGATCGCTGACTAAAGTCTGGTAATCTATCGTTATCTATCATCTTCCAGATGCTGACTAAGGTCTGGTATTTTTCCATCAATCTCAATAACGTCTAGTGAATATTGTGTCTTAAATACATATAATGCAGTCATATAATGTAATTATAATGAATATAATGAGATGCCAGATTGACGCCGGATAGTTGGCTCAAATACTTTCGTAAACTAATGACTAATGAGTACTCGTCGAAGTGCTTCAAAAAAGTGCTTCATTGCAACACAATATGGCCGTTCAGAAGTCATGGCAGACTATTAGGGTAACTGCATTGCAGTCCATTGCAATGACTTCGGCATTGCAGTGCATTGCAATGACTCCGGCATTGCAGTGCATTGCAATGACTTCGGCATTGCAGTGCATTGCAATGACTCCGGCAATGCAGTGCATTGCAATGACTCCGGCAATGCAGTGCATTGCAATGACTTCGAAATAGCAGTTACTTCGGCATTGCAGTGCATTGCAATGACTTCGGCAATGCAGTGACTTCGGCATTAAAATGCACCATGACTTTTTAGACCGGCTTAGCCTAAATACGGAGTTTACCACGAAGAGATTAAAACTTCAGAGAATTTAAAACCCGTGTTGGAGTAAAATATTTGCTAGTGCTACTTAATTAGAGTGAAATTATCGGGTTTCAAAATCTCATGTGCTTGATCGGTGTTTGATATTTTTCGTGCGATGGTGAAGTGGTTTTCTTCATAAGCATCAAAAAGGAATAAATATTACTGAAATATTAATATAATTGCCGTAAATTAATATACATTAATAAATATTAACAGCCACGTCTGTCATTTCCACGTAGCAGAATAGCAAATATTCCCATTACGACATTTGAATGAATATTTCAGCCATAAACATTCTTCGCTGATTAAAAAAAAGATTGATGACATTCGTATTTGCTTCAATTTTTAGGAAATGAGCCAGGAGTAAGACGAGGCAAAGAATAATTTGCACATAACCAACAAAATAATTTACAACTTAATCTAAGGCACAGCTCATAAATGAATTAATCGACACTATGTTGAGGACCAACAAAATAATTTCATCGTTTACAACTTGCAGGGAGTAACCTTAATTAAATTGCTTCAGCTGTGAATATGAAATGTTTAATGAACACAACAAATGGCGCCTGGCTGAGAAAAGAAAGTGGTTGAAGCCTAAAGTTTTCATTTATCGAAATAAACTTGAATATTAGAACCGTTTGCTATGGGACTAACAATTTGTTTAATGTTTCACGTTATTTTGCGTGTCGGTATGTTTTGAGCCCAACATGTCCCATAATCAATCGAGGCGCCACTTGAGAACACGCCAAAATTGCGTCCACCATAAAGAATTCTAAGATACCCTGTGGCAGTCAATGATGAGGTTTTTGGCAGAGCCGCGACAACGCCGACATCCAGCGCAGTGCCGGCGTTGTCAGTGACGACTCCTGCTGTGAAGTTGTAGAGGATGTCGACGAAACCTCGATAGAAGCTCAGGCCGGTCAGCTCTGAGATGGTCTTAGGCGATGGTACCATAGTCAGACCCAGTGATGAACAAACCTGTCTTGTCCAGCTGTCAATAAAGAAAGAAAGACTTATGATACAGAATTATATATGATACAGAATGACATATGACATGTGATACAGATTGACATATGACATGTGATACAGATTGACATATGACATGTGATACGGAATGACATATGAAACAGAATGACATAAGACATATGATACAGAATGACATATGACACACGATACAGGGTGACATAAGACTCACACTTATTTTATTTTGATTTCCATGCAAGCACAAAGGAAGTATCGTTGTTTAGATCCCTCCGAACTGTCGATTCAGTTGTAAGAAGTTCTTCCAAACTTACTAACTACAAAGTCAACCGAATTTAAAATATGGTCTCCACCTGGCAGAAAACGCTCACCTTAGAACTGAAACTGATCACATCCTCGCCACATTCATACAGCAGCAATAATTATATTATTGATCTTGCCATTCTAAAAATCAAAAGTGAGTATATATTAAATCTAACCCTGAATCTATTTGAGGCCTGTTAAGAACATACTTACTGCCAATCATAATACGCTGGATTCTGCAATGACACAAACTGGCCTTTGGAGTTGCCTTTGAAGATGTAGACCACTCCTCTGAACTTAGGATCTTCAGCAATGGCTGTCATGATGCCGCATTTCAAGTCCTGTATGCATATGGACAGCCGCAACAATTTTCAACACCATTAGGTTTAATTAAGATAATTTTTTATTCTTTGCCTTTACCTTCGAAAAATGTTATTTTGTTAACTTAAGAATTAACCCTTTAAAGCATATATATGCTATATTTCTGTTTACCTTCTGTTAAATCAAAATATATTCAATCTATTCTCTACAAATCACAGATTCCCTGCAATTGATTACATTTGAAATGATGTTTCCGCAAACTGTTTAAGCAAACTTTTGCTGGTTAAATAAACAATTGAGTAGACTGACCAAGAAATTTTTTCTAGATAAAGCGATCCATTGAATATCGTAATCAAATAAGAATATGAATAGTACATCTAGTTTCTGACTGATTTCAAAGTTTTTGCTAAATATTATTAATTTTTCAGCACAAATTTTCGGATTTTCCATTTAACATCATTTATTGTCTCTCGTCGGTCGAAGTTTATTGTTCTTTAAATTTTAAATGCAATCTTTTCCTTACATGAAATCTTTAAATTTTGTTTTAATTCTAAATTGTGTTGATGAGTTTTTAATTTCACAAACACGATGACGATGGAACACACCTGATTGGGCTCCCATTCAGCACAAATTCTCAGCGCAAATTTTCTTATTTTGCATTCAACATCAATGATTGTCTACCGTCGGTCTGAGATTTTTTGTTTTTTGAATTTTAAATGCAATCTTTTCCTTAAATGCAATCTTTAAATTTTGTATTGTTTCCTAATTTTGATGATGAGTTTTTGATTTCATAAATACGATGACCATGCAACACACCTGATTGGGCTCCCATGTGAAGGCCACACAAACAGGAGCGCTCAAGCAGGCACCCGCGCAGCCTAAGATCGTGGCCTCGCGCTCCATGGTTCGTGGGCCAGTAACATCAGTGTATGGGGCCCTCATGAAGAGGTCTGACACTGATGACGACTGCGTCAGACGTGACGTCACGCTCCAGATGAGCGGCAGAAATAGAGACCTAGTGAATTATTAAGAGAAATTAGGACACGAAATCCAAATGAGCGGCATAAATAGAGACCTAGGAAATTATTAGGAGAAATTAGGACACGAACTCCAGATTAGCAGCATAAATAGAGACCTAGAAAATTATTAAAGAAATTAGGACACGAACTCCAGATGAGCAGCATGAATAGAGACCTAGGAAATTATTAAGTGAAATTAGGGAACGAAATCCGGATGAGAAGCATAAATAGAGACCTAGGAAATTATTAAGAGAAATTAGAACAGGAAATCCAGATGAGCAGCATAAATAGAGACCTAGGAAATTATTAAGAGAAATTAGAACAGGAAATCCAGATGAGCAGCATAAATGGAGACCTAGGAAATTATTAAGAGAAATTAGGACGAGAAGTCCAGATAAGCGGCATAAATAGAGACCTAAGAAATTATTAAGAGAAATTTGGACAGGAAATCCAGATGAGCAGCATATATGGAGACCTAGGAAATTATTAAGAGAAATTAGAACAGGAAATCCAGATGAGCAGCATAAACAGAGACCTAGGGAATTATTAAGAGAAATTAGAATAGGAAATCCAGATGAGCAGCATAAATAGAGACCTAGAAAATTATTAAGAGAAATTAGGACGTGAGCACAATGTCACAAACAGAAAAATTTGCAGAAAGAGTAAGCTCAGAGACGCTACAGACAGAGATTACTTATACAGTTCCTACTGATGAAGCAAATTATAATTAATATATGAGATTGCGAATAACTTATATGGAACAAAATATGTTTCTTATCAAATGGCGACTAATTTTCAATTAGCTTATCTCATTTCATCTCAAATGGATGAATTGAAGCTAAATAATTACCCTTTACATTGTCATTATACATTTACATTATGCACATTTATTTTAGCATAGTAATCGTTTTCAATCGAATCTTGAGTACAATTTATTTTTTACATATGCATAATTTTAAGAAACACATACGATTGAACGTAGCTTATAATTCTTCATACTTTCTTGTTCTGATTTCGAATATCAAAATTTCTGTCTATTTCTATGCTTTCCCGCGAAGGGCAGCTAGTTTCTAATATTAAATTCCATTATAATCAGTGGTCTTAAGCCATGTTTATATTCTAAATATGAATCTAAATAAGCTTCAACATTGATAAAAAAATCAATGTTGACAATTTATCTAAAAATTTATGCAGCAGGTTTCATATCCAACTCTTTTTTGATAATTTTGATATAGCAACTATATTTTTGAATTTTACATGTCATCTTGAGCTACATATAATAAAAATTTACTTACTGCTTCATCGACATTGCGAAGTTATCAATTTGAAGAATGTTTCAACGATTTTGTTATGATATATATTTATGATCGGGAATACTGGTAGATGTCTACTTAGAAATCTGGAATTAAAATTTAGAGATATCAAGTAAAAATTCTTTAATTATGTTTATTCCAATTCCATACCATATTGAATCAATTACAAATATATACCACTCGTTTGGCCTCACGACACAAAAATTTATAATACAATGAAGAATACGTCGCATAAAGTACAGTTACAAGGTGATCTTGACAGGCTGGTTGACTGGGCTGATAAGTGGCAGCTGCGTTTTAACGCTAACAAATGTAAAGTTATCCACCTTGGCAAGAATAATGAACAGCAAGATTACAGTATGAGAAGACACGGTTGCAACGACAGAGTGATGATGTTGAAGTCGACAATGGAAAAAAATTTAGGAGTTAATATCGACAATGAGTTGAAATTTTCTAAGCATATTTAAGGTCAAGTTAATAAAGTCAATAAACGACTTGGACTGATCAGACGCTCTTTCGAGTTCCTAGATGCAGGAACAATGGAGCAGTTGTTTGTTGCCGTCGTACGCCCGAGTCTAGAGTTTGGAAACGTCGTGTGGTCACCGAGACTTGAAAAGGACAAAAATTTAATAGAGAGTCTTCAAAGACGTGCAACAAGGATAATTCCAGGCTACTAAGGCAAGTCATATGAGGAAATATTAAAGATTATGAAGCTTCCAAGCCTCAGTTATCGACGTCTGCGTGGGGAATTCATTGAAGCATACAAGTATACTCATGGCTTATACAAGATCCCAGAAGGATTACTAGAATTTGAAACAAGAACCAACACCAAGAACCAACTAAAAAACTGTAACACATCCACGCGACAACATTTCTTCTCGCTTCGAGTCACCGACATGTGGAACAGCCTCCATGATAGCGTCGTTGACGCTCCGAGTATGAACGCCTTCAAGAACAGACTAGACGAAGCTATGCAGGAGCATATGTTCAGTCTTAAAATGCCTAGCAAATTACGGGCCAGGCAATAAGTCCAGCAGCTATCTCAATCAATCGTCAAGTTATGGAAAGATCGGGTTCCAAAGGCCGGATCCCTTGTGAATCAACACGAAAAATTCAAGAATCGGCAACAGGCCATGGGCTTATTTCTTCAGTGCCGACACTTCTATTCTATTCTATTCTAAGTGACCTCATCGAGTCGTTGTTTCGTCTTCGCCAGACACTTGACGACTGAGAGGAAGACTCGCCTGCCTGGCGTCTTATATAGATTCTTGTCACCAGTAACAGCCCTTCACACTGCCTGTCACTTACGTCAATTGTCAGGAAAATGTGATGGGAATTTTTTAATTTGAAGAACAAGTTTTCCATTTATGTTTAACTTTGTATAGATGGATAATTTTTGTATAGAAGAATAATTTTTACATTTATGATTGACTTTTTATAGATGGATAATTTTTCTACAGAAGAATAATTATAGTATAGATGAATAATTTTTCCATTTATGATTTCCATTTTATCGACGAATAATTTTAGTAGTAAAGATGAATAGTTTTTTGTACAGATGAACAATTTTTTCTTTGGTAATTTTTTCATTGATAGACCTTGCAGTGGCTCAAAATAAAAAAAAAATTCGGGATGTTTTTTGTGAAGACTAATTATATAAGTTAATAATTAATTTTAAAATCATCTGATGTTTATTCGTATACTTGCGGAGCATTCAAACTGAAGCTGGAATTTTCCCTACATTGAAATTGAAGAGATAAGGAGTAATGTTTAACGTGGTTAATATTTCTTTCCATGGTTTACTATTCAAAGAAAAATAAGCAAATCGGAGCAATTTATTTGACAATATGTGATAATAGGTCCTAAAAAACTTTTTTTGCACAGGGCAAGAAACTTGGCTAGGTCCACGGCTCTTTTTCTCGCTACTTATTGAATGGATTTTAACTTCGTGAACTGATCAGGATTTTCTGTTAAGTTAAAAGATATTGAATTTTCGCAGTATGAAATTTTTCCAACAATTAGAACCAACAAGATAAGGGATTTGCATTTCAGTTGCGAGTTATTTATGAAATTCATTTTCCGATGACAAATTTGAATTTGATGTCATTTGTGCAATGTTCATTGAGATACAAGAATTGCGATTTGCAAAATGGGACGAAATATCGAAAGACATTTCGTTCTTTTTTAATTGTCGAAAGACATTATTATCATTTTTGAATCGTTACGGTATGGCGATTAGGTTCAGGGCAAAGGTGTTAAAGCGCAATGACTACTCAAATTCATTGTATTTATTTTATGACGTGTGATTTCAGATTCAAAACTCGAAGGATGATATTAACGATAACATATTAATCTTATTTCAAGTTCAAATATTGTTATACAATTAAAATACATTCGTAATTTTAAATATTGTATATAAATTATGCACACATAGAGTGTATTTTACATAATGAATAAATAAAATAAAACTATAAATCAAGGTATTTGCAAATCGCATCATTAACAATCTACAGTCACTGTTATCATTTTTTTATTTTGATAGACATAACTTAATTGAAGGAAATTATAAATATTTTGAATTCCAGGAGTCAGCAGCTTTCACTTATGACCAAGCAGTTTAAAATTACAATCAAATCTATTCTAAGCAGAGGGAAATCAGGGAAATGTGTTCCAGGAAAATATTTATGGTGGTGATAAATAGCATCCCCTATAATATTCCAGGAAACCTCGTCGTAACGCTGGCAATTCATAACGGACGCTTGACGACCGTAGCAACAGACAAGCTTGACTGTCGTCTAGCGCTTCGGGCTGTTGGTATAACTCGCAATCATGTGAAATGAGTGGTGTCTTTCTCTATATACGTTGGAATAAATTCACCTGTATGAACGTTAAATTGATTCAATAAAATAATATGTTGGGGATCAACAATTGTTTGTGTTTTATTAGTTTTTTTTTTTGTTGTTTGTTTTTTGTTTATTATTATTTTATTACTCTTCTGAATTCACCATAACCCATTTCCTACCTTCAACTTGACTAGAACATTCTAAATCGTTCAAACAATTGTAGGAAGTTTTTATTATTTCTATCACTTATTCTGCCAATGGTAACGTCACATTTTTTCCCAACTTTCAACTTTCTTGAAAATCGGGACGTATTTCTATTATAAATAAAATACAGTCCAGTTTTCGCGAAGATTCAAGATAGATCGGGAGCAATTTCTCATTGCTTTATTTGCTTCAAATTTTACAAAAATTACACGTATAAATAATTCCTCAGCCGCATTGTATTGACGGCATTCAAACTCATAAGTTTGAATGCCGTCAATACAATGCGAATCATTGCTACACTGTAAGAAAACTAATCGTTAACGGTATTACCGGCGTTTCAGTGGCCGGTCAGCACGTGAAATAAAACATCGTGTTGCCATTTTTATTCTAATTTAACACTAAAAATCCCTAAAACCTATGATAAAAACGGCGAAATAGTTTATTTTTACGGGGCGACCGGCCACTAGAACGCCAGTGGGACCGATTTTTCACCGTTTTTTCTAACAGTGTACATGCTAATCATTGCTCACGAATACACATGCGAATTATTGCTCGCCGTGTATCGAACGCAAGTTAGACAGGAGGAAGTTTGTTCTGAAGCCTGCCATTGACCGAAAAATCTGACAAGTTCATGGCTGGTTGCAATGGGATAACATATCTCATGACTTGGTTCGTTATAGTTGATACTGAGTAATTCTGGAGGCCAGTATCAGAAGCAGAAATATCAACGAACTGATAGCATGATGGCACAGTGATGAGTGGCAAACATTTCAGATTCTAACACCCTATTAACTGTCGCATGATGTTCGTCATTTCAGCATCAGATGTTCCAAAACTACACTATCAGAAAAAATATAACTCAGTACTCACTGCAGTGAGTGACAGAGAGCGCATTTTCTCGTCCGTCCGTCCGTAAAGTCACGGACAGACGGACGGACACGGCGAGCACAATAGCGCCTCTTTTCATAAATGAGAAAATGCGCTAAAAACGGTAAAGAAAACGGCCTCACCGGCGTTCTAGTGGCCAGGCGCAACGTGAAAATAAACCGTTTTTACGTTTTTTTAGGCCATTTTCTCATTTATGGAAAAAAGCGCTATTTTGCTCGTCATGTCCGTCCGTCCGTCCGTGACTTCAAGTAACGGACGGATCTAATTTTTTCAGATGTTGTGCGGGTTTCTGGTTTTAAATTTGAATATAAACGGTGTTTTTCTTTTCACGTTCGGCCGGCCACTAGAACGCCCGTGAGACCGTTTAACGGTAATTTTTCTATTGTATTCTGAACGACATTCTGAAAATTGCTGGTATGTTGCCTAAATGTATCGCATTTTCAGGCAGGATGATTGACCTCGATTGTAAGTGGCTTCTACAAGTTTGCCAATTGCCGATGCGATGGTGCAGACAGAACAAATAAACTTTTCATAATAAGGCTTTTGGTAAACTTTCAACATCCACTGATTTCTGGAATGATACGTGTTGTTGCTCGTCGTCATTGGTGATACTTGTTGGTTAATTTTGAGCACTATGTATACATATAAGCAATAGTACTCTGAAGCCTGTGCAAGCATATATTTGAAACTAATACAATTACATTTCTATGAAACAATAAATTTAAGCGGTATAATCTATTTTTAACTTCGATGACAACATGAGTGAAGGAAATAGATAGATCTAACAGTAGTAAAATCTATTTCTGTAAGTGCATGCGATAAAAAATGTATCCTTGAATACCCTGCGAGCTACTGTGTAACATGCAATAGTTTAGTCAACCATTCAACTATCAGATACATTAAATTGCATTCTCGTATATTTTCGTTCGCCATTAGGGCTACGTACTCGCACATTTTCGGGAATCGTTATCTGGCTCTAATTTAACTAATCACAAATCTAATTTGGAAAGTAAAAATTTATTTATTTCACGAAGGTATATATGCTGTATATTGTTCTATTTTGGTGGAAGTCCAAGCTGATTTGAGGCAATTGTCGGTTAATTATCTAATTCAGGAAC